TCTCCACTGTCACAGCTCTTCCCACATGCGGGTCAGTGGTAGCCTCACCCGGACCTAGGTGCCACCAAGGTGCTTTTGATATGGGCAGCAAGGGTGTTTTTAGGCATGTCTGTGTAAATTCTTTGCCCAGATTTGCTGGCAAGGTTTTTAGTGACAGCATGGCAGAGACGGGGTTTGCAATACTTAAGGGGTGCTGAGCTTCCCTCCGAGGTTAATACTGGCCAGCTTTTGTTTTTTCAATTGTAGAGCTACACTGGTTTAACAAAGATTGCCTCCAGGACAGCAATTCCCATATTTACAACTCTTACCACAGAAAATGCACTTACAATGTTTATGAAAGTTACTTGAAGTAAATACAGCACCCTTGACTTCTGATGTCTTTTTTTCTATAGTTTCAACACTTTTGCCCCTTTGCCTAAAGTTAACAGCTTGTAACTTCTGCTGATTATTTGTCATGACTGGCTCACAGTTCTACCCATTCTTAGCTGGTTGGTTTGGTCCATATTGCTCATTTTATGCATTTTCTTTGAATGCTGCTTTCAAACAGTTTTTATACATTTTGCAGTGCATGAAGCTGGAATTGCGTCACATGATGTTGCTAATAATAATGCTGCAAGCAGTTAAGAATCTGTACTAGTCATAATCAAATGTTTGGACACACATGGATATGTATATTTTCTCAACTTTTTTTAAAGAATCTAAAAGTCAGTCTTTTTCTAATTCCCACTGTAGCTCAGAAAATTTAAGGAATTAATTTTTTTCCTTTTTCTTTTACAAAAGCTGTCAAACAATACCAAACCTCATAGTGCCTTTACAAACTGGCATGGCATTTTCTATACCCTTTCCTTGGAAATATTAATAATAATTGGATGTGTATCATGTGTGCAATATATTTATAAATATACATTTATTAATATATTTTTATGTAAAATGTTATCATGTTCTACTTCGATAACATAATTCTGTACACTTGGTATAGAATGATATAGTTATAGAACAAAGTACATTTGTATTTGTACTTACAAATGTATTTTTGTCTTTTGTTCTAGGTTATGTACTGTAATTTCCAAAAGATGACATAATTTACCTTCTTTGTATGAGAAGCACGTTTCATTCCTTTAAAATTCTGTGTACTTTTACGTCACACTGTACGTTAAAGGAGCAGTGATTGAAATCATTGTTGTCAAGGAAGAATGTATTAAAATTATTAATAAGACTTAAACCCACACGAGACTTACTGAATCATCTGATCTGACCTAAATTTATGACCCTTCCTCCCAGTTCTTCCCTTTGCACACTTGCACAAAGACAGGAGGATGAAAAGGAGAAAAAACCAACACAATAAAGACCAGTGAAAACTGTGTATTTGCATTAGGTTGATGTAACATTTTGTGATTATAATAATATAAACAAATGAAATATAAGGGCATTCACATCAGACCTCATTTCAAGCTGAACTATTATAAAGCGATTAACAGCCTCACACTCCTGCTTTAATTAAGTTATATTGTGAAATATTCAGCATTTGAACCTGTTCTGGCCTGCCTCTTTTATCATTGAATTACCATCCTTAATGTGTTTTTCTGCTGAAAGATGAATTTCATTTAAGGATTACTGTACACTGCTCTGGCATTTTGTGGTTTCTTGTCAGCCCTTGTGAATCTAGATCATAGCTAACTTCAGTTCTCTGACATGTCCTATATGCACAGTCTCTTGACTAGCCTGTCTCAGTGGATTTATTAACTCATATTGTATTCCCGTAGAAATGAATGGGCATTTTTGATTAACTTAATGATAGAAATTTCAGATGACAGTGGAGTTTACTTTTGGAGCTTTCTTCAGGTTATGCAGGCCATAGCAGTTCTCTAGTGACCTATCACTTCACAGAAATGCATTTTGAAAGTTTCAAGGCAGTGGACATGCCTCTGCCAATACTTGAAGATGGTGCTAGTGGAAAGGGAATTGAACAGTCCTTCAGAGCTGGGATGTGTAAATCCACAGCCACCCCTATGCTGCTCTTTCCTTTCCTGGGGTTGATTTTCAGCTGTTATATTCCACTGCAGATTGTAGAGCCTGCCTTCAGGCAAATCCATGCTACCAAATCACTCTGAGGAAGGGTCAATGAGTGATGCTCCAGCTAAGCATCCCACTTCCTCCCTTTCTACTTGTGCTTACCCCAGACCAAGGTGATGCAACTCAACATGGCACCATCAGTTTTGGTGGTCCTTTTTCACTCTCAGTTGTCTGATGATAAGGCTACAGGCTATGCTTTTAGGGAGGGGAGGACATGCCAATCAATATTGTCACGTTCTCTTGGCTAGTCACAATAAATGTCCTTAGAAGTAGTTCGCCAGATCTTGACATGTGATGACGGGTCAGGTGGGTTTGTTTACTCCCACTACCCTGTGGATCTGTCTGCTCTCAGAGTGGGTGGCAAGGTAGAGGCTCTTGATGCCGTAAGTGGTCCTGTATGGATATGGTTCCACAAGGATGGCACCCAGAGCAGGTAACTCTCAAAGGAGGTCTTTGCCCTGGCAAGGTGAAGCTTTGAGTGACATGGCTTTAGCTTCCAGCCTGATAATTATATGTTGTAAATTGCACTCAGCTCTGGCACTGATTGAAAAAACGTTTGGTAATTTACTTGTGTGAAGACAGTCTAAGATACATGCTGTCCTCTGTCCTGGACAAGCACGGCATGCATATTTTTGACCCCAGAGCTCACAGCTCCAATGGGCAAAACAGAGCTGCAGAGAAGGTTGCAGTGTTCACAGTGACTGATCCATGGATTGCAACCCCCCATACTTGTTGGTAGGGACAAGCACAAAAGGAAGACAAGCAGATTTAGTGAAAGTGGTCTAAGAAGAAGGTCAGAGAAGAAGCAGGGGAATGTGCAGGATTGATTCAGGAGGGAGGAAAACACTGGAGAAAGGAAGCAAGCAGTACAGGGGAAAATGCATGTAGTTTAAAAGGAGGATCATATCAGAGATCATCCCGTTTGCTGTGTGCATCCCCTGAAGTCTGAGCTTCTGAACTGGGTTTCTCAACCATTCCTCTGCCCTGGAGTCATAGATCAGGGAGAAGACATGAGGCCAGGAAGGGCTTGGTGCTCTTGGACAGGTCAGAGCTCCCAGCTGTGAGACGCTGGGATGAGGGAGGAGGGTAACCATGGCAGGGTCTTTGTTCCCATTACACATGCTGTGGTGTGCCATCTCTTGCAGATGCTTGTCCCTGCTCTGGCCACCACTGTCTCACCAGAAGCTGCCTTCCTGTTTTCATGAGAGCATTGGCCACCTTAATTCTTACAGAGCAGCTGCTTATGGCAAGTGTGTAAGATGCACTTGTGTTGTGGGCAGAAGAAAATGCAGGGCTTGTCCTGTCCTTGTAGCTGCTCTGTGTTCCTAGCAAGCTGTTCTCAATGAAATCCTTTTACCCCCGAGAGAGTTTGGTGTGGGAAATTTAGACCATACATATTTTACCTTAAATTTCAGATGACCTTTCTTTGTTTTAAAATGTATAAAATCATTTAGGACTGATGCAAGTGAAAGTTGGCATTAAAATGAAGATTCCTATTGTTCTGTTATTCCTGGAAGAGTTGGAGATAATTTCCAGTGCATATTATTGCTTTCTTAACTCACCTAAAACCAATCCTCTCCTAAGGCAGTTGCTCAGAATAGCAGTGTGCACGTCAGGATCGTGGCATTGGCACACTGTGCTAGTTATGGGATTCCTTGTAACGCGTAAGAACAGCTGACGAAACGTGAACTGGAACACAAGCAAAGTGAGCTAAATCTAACTTTTCCCAAGTGGGTGGAAAAATTTGTATCTGGTGATTTTGGAATCTCTTTCAAGAAACTGAGCTCTTTGCTTCAGCAAACAGAGAAAGCAGAACTATGCAAAAGAAGGTTTTGATGCATCTATCTCAAATTAAAGATTTTCTATGGCTAGCTTTGTGGATGAGTTTCAATCATTTCAGCCTGTGTAATACATTTTTGTGAAAGAAAAGGCATGTGCTAGATCAGTAAAAGAGTCATTTCCTCTGCATTAAGTGGAAGTGTTTGGGATGAGCATAGCGGTATATTGTATGGATATAACAATATCACTAATCCCTTCTTACTGTAAACAGGAGTAGAATCTCATGGGAGAAAAATGAGTGATGCAAAGGTCTTGCAAAAGTGAAGGGTTAAAAAGCTTGTGCTTCAGTGGGAGTATAAAAATAATGCTTCTCATCATCAGTTCTAGTTAAGGATACGGGGTGCTTAAACTGTGCTATGATCCACCTGGAGTCTTGAATTCTGCTCAACCTGAGTAAGAATTAACAGGAAAAAGGTTAAATGGAAATTCTGACTGACACAAGGAGGTACAAAACCTAACCAAGCAAATGTGTTTAGAGCAAACCAGGAAACTAGGTAACTGTGTCAACAAACTAGCGTTATACAATGCACTAAAATACATCTTATTTACTCTGCCTCATCTACAATTCAGTTAGCAGCACAAGGTTATTTTAATACTGTGCAGCGATCAGAGACTAAAAAGTGCTTGTGGGTACAGGCGCAAAGGCTTCTCAAAGATAGAGAAATATAAATACTCGTTCATGAAATTCTTGGGAAGCTTTCTTTTTTTTTTTTTTTTTTTAATCAGCATTGCCATTTTATTGTTTAACCTACCCTGCTTGATCTGCCTACTTTTGGTTAATACAGGAGTCAATTACAGCTTCATCTGTGCAGAATTAACTTTATAGAATATACACTAGGGATTCGTCTATCTCCTCTATTTAGATCTATGTCATAAAAAAATATGTAGCAGAGAATTGTGTGCAAGCACTGCATATGGTACAGGCTTTGCAGATTTATTGTAAAATCATTTTAAATCGGTTAAGCTCTTGCCAGAAGTTAATTAAATATGTTCCTTTGGTGGGGGGGTGGGGGGTGGGGGGACTCTGTGTGTGTGCGTGTGTGCGTACGTGTGTGCATGTGTATGGGGGGGGCCTTCTGTCTCACTAGGTGGCAGTGTCTGATTACATCTGGAAGGACCACGCCAGCAAGCCTGGTGTCTCCAGCTGTGACCTCCAGCACCAGGACAAAACCCCTGACTCCGCAGCTACCTCGAAAGGTAGCACCACTGTTCACATCTCCATCTACACTGTTCACCTCAGCGGCTTCCAGGAGCTCTACAGGCACTTCCTCAGGCTCCCTGATGGGGCTATCGTGGAGGTAGGTCCAAGCAGACTCCCCACCTGCAGATATTGAAGGCGAAGGGGTGCGCTTCAGAAGTGGGTCAGTGTCAAAACGGAAAAATAGACCTGCCTGACCCTGCTCGAAATATACATTGAAATCTTGCATAGGAAGACCTCACTCCTAAACAGTAGTGTAAAATCAATGAGTTAATGTGTTTGCAGTGCAAAGTAGCTATTTAGTATTGTTTATAGAGCCATTTGAAGGCAATTATGGAAGATATACATTGAAACTACACACACAGAGATTATTTATAAATATATATTGCTTAGAACCACATAAGGTCATTCTGTACAGGAATTATATATATAAATATACAATGTAAGCATTGTGCACATGTATTACACAGCTAGTACTACAGGTATGGTCATTCACTTAGTTTTTCCTCAGATAGACAGAGCTAAGGCACAGTTAGATTGCTTGCTGGCATCTTACAAGTTTTAGATTGAATCCTGGATGTTGTCAGAGTTTTAGCAGCCTGTGCACTAAAATAAAATACAGGATGGTATTGTAAAGAAGTATTGCTCATTACTTGTTTCATGGGCTGTATTTTGTACATTGCATTGTCATTTTTGTTCTAAGTGCTTAGAAGAAGTGCATTTCCTTGTTGCCTTTGGTCTTGTGTTGAGAGACCTTTAAAAAATATTTGGCATCTAAGAGAAAGTAGAGTGAAAGAATACTGCTTTACCTACCCAGATAAGAAGTGGGAGCATCATCACGGAGGTCTGTTTACCATAGAAAACTGGCACAAATGATGCTGAAGTACAAAGTTCTCAGCTGCTCTATTCTAAGGTGAAGGTTCAAGTACATCTTTCCAGCATGAGGCAAATGTTGCTTCTGCTCCTTTGGTTAATGTTTCAAGGCTGTTTTCTTCATTAAAAGATTTTATTCTTAATGTCTTTGCCCTACTTGGCTTTTTAAAGAAAATTTAATTTAAAGGAAACTGTCCTCAAGGAATCCAAACATAATTTTCTGCCCCAGGAACTTGTGATTCACCAGGGTGAAGACACCAGAGTCTTAGAGCTGGCCAAACAAAACAAGAGAAGGCATGTGGCCTACATGAAGTAGAACTTAATTATTAAAACAAAGAAACCGGCAAATCCAGGTCCATGCCTAAGTCTGTTAAAGAAGCTCCTCATACAAATCGTTGGCTAGATTTTTGCTAGAACACTTTTTCCCTGTTCAAGGTCAACAATGCAGCCCCATTCCTACTTTTCGCCTGTTACAAACAGTATTTTTTGCAGATTGTTTTTTTCCGAGTTAAGTTGTTCTCAGCTTTTTGGTCATGAGGATTTGTTCAGCTACCCCAAGGCTGTGGAAGGAGGGGCTTCGAACACCCGAGGCAATCTTAAACCAGTGCACTGGTCCCTTTCATTAATCCTTCTTGTATTTCTGAGAGAGGACAAATGCATTCCCATACAATACAATTTTGTCTTCCCAGAAGCTTCCAGCTTCTGAACTGATGCTGATCAACATCAACAAAATGAGCGCTGCACAATGCAGATAGCTCAAGCCACTTCTGTACAGTTTCCCACACCAGATCACAACATAGTCTATCCCTGAAATCTACATGGCTGACTCTCATGTCATCATCTTGAAAGCTGCATGTCTAATTTAGGAGACAAACGCACACTTTACAGCATTTTTACTTGTAGATCTAAATACAATTACATATGAGAAATGTGCTTAACTAATAATTGCAGTAAAACTTATGTACAGATCTTACATTTAGCTGATAATGGATGTAATTATACCATTGTGTATTTTATAGGTCAGGGTTTTCTACTTCAGTTCCAAATTAGGAATATTCTATGTTAATGAATTTTAAAACTATACACTGACTAGTGAGAAGTTTCCTGCCATGGGGGAAATACACCTGAGCTTCACAACTTGCTGCTGATGCTGCCCCTTCGGAAGAGTATTTTTGGCTCTGCTGCATCTAGACAAGCAGTGGTACTTGTGTGGGGTTAAAAAATTGTTTGGGAGCTAGAAGGTTGCATTGCAACCTTAAGTATAGCTTTTAAGGGTGTAGGAAATGAAGACTACATGGGCTTCTTGGGGTAATCTGTCCAGTCTGCTCCTTCTGGGGGTAACTCATTGTGTATAAGCATTTTCAGTCTGAATATTTAGAGCTAGTCCTGAGGATTCAGGGAGTTTAGTTTACCTAAACCTAGTCTAGATTAGGTATTTTGTCCCCAGTGATTCGATGGAAAGATTTTTCTGGATCCTTCCAGTCTTATGTGGTCAGAATTCTCCTCTTATTTTCCAGCCTCAATTTATACATTGTCAGTTTCCTTGTATTTATTTGGATCACCCTTTGGTGTAAATAAGACTTATCTCTTCCAGAAGTTTACCTACATGATCTAATTTCATAATCTTAGCAGTTTTCTGCCAGAATGGGTACAACACTTCACCAGAAGAAACAAGTTCCCCTTTTGCTTTTCATTCCCTTCCTCACCTTACTAGTAGTAGTCAAGGAGGGTGGGCTCTTCTTCCACAATCTCTATAACTAGAGATTGTCACCTCTCCTCTCCCTGTCATAGGAACAACAGCTGCCTCTCCTCTTTCTTCATGATGGGCAAGCCTCTTTCTCCCCACCAGATAGAAGATATTTGTATGAAATGCTGTCTTGGGACTGTAGGATCATGGCATGTAGGCATAGGGGAGGTCTTTGGCAAGTGTGACACGTCCTACATTTGTATATGCATCTACCTTGTCTGCAGAGTCCACAGAGAAAGAAAACAACCAATTTGAATTTCTTTTTCCTCTCTTTTGTATGGGCTAGTGCTATTGTACAACTGCAGAATACAAGTAATTCAAAAGCATCTAGGAACTGAGGGTTGCATGTAACTTATTCCTGCAAAACCCATGCTTTTTATTACTGTAACCTACCAATGGTTAAAATGTAACTATTTCAGTGTAACTTTGTGTTTGCTTGGTCACTTTTATTAAGAAACTCTGAAGGAGTGTAACTCTGAAGACAGCAAAATGTAAAGGCTTTGATTTTTTAATTTCTGTGACTTTTGGGAATCATACCTGAAAGAGCCGTAACAGCTATTCCTAATTACTGCAGTGGAACCCCATTAATTCAGGCATTTGGGGACTGAGATCTCTCCTCTCGATGTGTAATGCTTTGTGCCGTTACAGCATGATGGTTGCTGGTATTACTAGGTGTTCTTCAGAAACATTATGTACAATCAGAGGAAATGAGGAATTTGGCAGAAAACAACACAGAAATGATAATAACTTTGAAAAGCATGTGCAATTATAGACATTGTTCAGAGGGTACCACCAGCATGAGCAGTAGGTTCTTAGCACTCAGCTAACTGAGATTTGTGTGCAGGCTAGAGAGCTCTGGGTTATTGGGGTGGCTGTCTATCTCTCGTCAAACACACTGATGTGAGAATAGTATTTAAATTACCGGGCCAAGTTCTTCCTCAAATTCATGTGTTCAACTGCTAGTGAATTCAACCTCAGATATCCTTCTGTATCTGCAGATATACATCAACAAGCATAAAAAGAATTTTGCATAATATTGCTTTAAAGTCCTTGGATACTCATTAGGAATTTACGTTATATTCAAAAGCTCATCCTACTCTTTTAGTTCAGTGAAATCAAGATTTTCTTGTAGCCCTAATTCCCTAATTCAGCAAAGCACTTAAGTGTGAACTTCATTCAAGCCAAGCAGCCAAAACACTAATTTTAAGATACTTTCCTTTTTTTTTTTTTTTTTAGTAGTAAGTAAGGCCAGTTTGTAAGTGCTGTGTACAGGAGTACACTAGTCACACTAGCCAGGTATAAATGTCTCTCTATGTAATAACTTCTTTAAATAGTTATTTCTTTAAGTATGGTATTCCCGTTAAAGGTCCAACTTTGCTGGTATAACTAGAAATTTCATGTCTGGTATGAAAAGTAGTTTTGTAGTTTTCATAAGCATGAGGCAAAAATAACTGTTTTAAAAGGAACATTAAGTACAAGGTGACATGTATAAATTGCCCTAGAAATGTTAAATAAAAAGATTTTTTTTTCAAATGTGCAGCATAAAAATTATAGAGGTTAAACTTGGAAGTGCAGTCCTTTTATCATAAGCATTGTAAAACTCAAAGAATTCACATGCAATAAAACCCATTTTCTTTTTTACCTATAATATATTTCTCCTTTATAGTATTGAATTTAAGTGTTGGCTAACCAAGGAATGACCTTCCCAAAATAAATCACTTTTTATGCTTTTCCTTATTCATTAATCTTATGTTATTGTAATATACAGGAAATTATTGAGTTTTAGCATTTTAAATGTATTTGAAATCCATGCACAGAAAAGTTAATGATAGTGGTATGTGTTTGCTGTTTACATGGTGATAACACCAACTCAGTGATTTTTATCTCAATTTTTGCTGACTGGAGTTGATTTCTTATTAAAAGGGCAAAGATAAGTCACTTTAACTCAGCAAAAAATCAGTTTCTTATTATAAGCCTAGTAAACCTCAGCATTGTAGAGAAAGTTTTTGTATAGCATGATTTTATCTATCAAATACACCTACACAAATGTCAAGGATTCATCCAATTTAAACTTACAGGATAAAAGAGATCTCTTTTCCCTAATTACTTGAAAAGTACCTAGTAGTAATAGGATAAGACAATGTAGGTGACTAGCCAATTACTTAGTTTAAGCTACTTACATCAATCCATATGCTATAAATTATGTCTAAACTCTCTTGCACTTCTGGAAAAGTGAATAAAATCATATAAGTTTATTTTGAATACAAGATCAGATATGGTATGCTGAGTGACACTTAAAAAGAATGAAACAGTAACCGTAGCTTATTTTCTGAAGCAATCTTGACACTAATGCTAAATTACAGCTTGGAAACATCTAGCATTTTTACCTTTATGAGAAAAGGCTTTTTACATATTTAACATAATTCTAGGGAAAATATACTGGAATTATGTATAAAGATATGTACACTGTAACCAAAGGGCATTTATATTCCCCAGTAGAATACTTACAACAATTTTATTGCCATTTGGTGTCATTTTCTAACAGATATAAAATACAGCCAGTAAACAAACTAGACTTTAGATTTAAGCTGACAGCTGTTTCTTCAGAAGCAATATTCAGATATTTAATCTTAAGAATACTGAATATTTTACAATTGTTTGAGCAAACTATACTTTTAGCATGTGAAGGACTGTGTGCTTTTATATACAGTTCTTGGATCTGATAATGATACTAAAAAACAACCTTAGAATAATCTACACATTTGTCTCTCCCATATACTCCCTGGGCAAATCAACAAATTGCCTCATGTTTTATTCTTAATTCCACAAATTCTTTTTATATACACAATGTTACTGTGAATATTAGGCCCTATTTTTTTCTCATATGTGCATAAGCCATACAGTTGACTCCAGTGCAGTTTATGCATGTATCCAAGTGCAGTTTTTCTAGCTCTAACTTCATTAAGGGAATAAATTGACCAAGTTTACTGCAAAAGACCTACATGCTGTTTTCATAAACAGTCTCACTGCAATGCCACTAAAGATTTATGGAGAAAGAGGGAGGATTGCTTCAGCTCAGTAACTGAGGTTGGTACACTACCTAATGGCTTCATCATCATAGGGCTTTATCATCTCGCCAGACCCTGCAGAGGGAGCAGGAAAACTCTGGCCTTTTCAAACCCTAAACTGGACCACCTGATGTGAGTGGGTGAGGACTTCTTGGTGGGGGAGAGACTTGGCAAAGGTAATTATTTGGTGTAAACTCACCGACATTAGCTGGCTTCCTCAGCATCATGCCAGGTCGTCCGCAAACACGGCCAGTTTACGAGTTGGTTTCCTAGAGATCTCTGTAAAAGTAGGGCTTAACAGCAAAGGCTTATCCCTTGCAAGAGTGATTCCACCCACGCTAATGCATGAGTGTGTGTACATATTCCTGGGCTGAATAGGCCTTGCCACGTGCTGCCCTCTTAATTCCAAGATCTAATCTTGTCCCATTTAAGACAACAAATAGTTTGCAACTGCGTTCAGTAGGAAGATGATCCTTCTCAACAGGTATTGAAGTTCAGTTGGGAATCATACATGATAGAAGTCAGCTAAGGGATACTCCCATGGACATAGGCAATCAAGTCAGTACAGCCTGCAAATTTACTTTCATTGAGGGCCATGGCATCACTGCTAGTTCCTCTGCAAATAAGAAGTAATCCAGACTGTTTTAAATTATCTTTACCAGTATATATTTCTCCTTTAATGCTATAATTCAATTAAAGATAATCAGTTTGAGAAATAAAATAGTTGATCAGGTGACTTTTCACCCCACTGAAAAGATGAGAGCAAGAAAAATAATTTTCCTAGAGAAATATTGCATTTATATGCTTTTTTCTTAAACTGATCCAGCTCATCTAGCATGTGACGTGTATCCTGTCCTGAAATGGAACCAGTCTGTTGCTCCTTGCCCTTGTGATGGCTAAGCCAATGCATTTGCTGCAGATAAAGAAGACATACATACCGTGTCTCAGCTGAGGAGGAGTTACATCTCCATACCTTTTCTTTCAGGTTGTTTACCCTTTCAAGTATAAGGTTAAGTCCTTACTGTTGTGTTGGGTTTTTTTTTTTTTTTTTTAGTAAATTGAGGTACAGACTTAAATGGAAACTGTGTCTATTAATTATTAATCTATTAAGGTTATCAACTACAGACAAGTGTATGCTACTGCATGGAACAAGATGGAAAGGCATGAGGCAGCCTTGCAGCATGTGGCCATTTCTCCCCCTCTAGTTTTCTCCAAATCCCAGGTTCAATATACTCTTTGCCCCAGAAACTCACAGTGCCATGGGGAAAAAGATGTATTTCCATCAAGACACCATTTCCTGCTTACCTATGGTGGAGGCTGTGGTCCGATAGAAGGACCAGGAAAGTGATGAGACAGGTCCACCTGTGGGGTCTCAGCAGGGTGCACAGGCTTTCAAATAACCAGAAAATGACTGAAATACCTACAGTGCAGTGTTATAGCCTTGTTCTGTATATCAAAATGCAATTTTAATTTATTCCAGCTTCTTTATTACTGACAGAGAACATGGGGTGGGGAGCAAGGGTTACAAACCTAGCCAACACATACAGAAATATTTCATGGGCATGGATATTTACATTCATATTTCCATGGGGGCCTGAGGAGTTAAAACTCTTTCCTTCAGATGTTCACAGAAGGGATGGGAGCAAGTTCAAGAGCATCCATTCAGTCTGAGCCAACGTTCATGGGAAAAGTTTTATCATATCACTGTAGTTGTGTTATATGACAAATATCAGTGCTGATAATTAAGGGGTACTTTAAAAATGCTATTTTCTATTGAAACACTTCCCTTTTGGTTCCAAACCACTGTAAACAACCAGATTTGTTGTATTTTCAGTGATTTTCTCACTGACTTTATGGTGCAAGGGTAGAGCCACTGATTGCTGCAGAAGGTATTTTGTACACTTAAATGCTTATAATCTTTATTCATCTATCACGTAGTTTTACCTGAATCAGCAGTAAAATCTCTGAAGTCAAAGGATAATTGCCAAAACAGTAATAACTTATTTTATCTGAATAAAAAAATAACCTTTGAAAAAGTACCTTGCAGCTACACAGATTGACAAAATGCATCAATTATATTTTTGCTCACTTTATAATTACACTGCAGTAAGTGCGCTGTGAACTTTACTACACGGTTGATTAACCGTAAGGTTACTGCTATTAAGTCACGCTCAGAAACAACAACTTAGACTTTAATTTAAGAACCGAACTCTGCACAACATCTGATCAAGTCTGAAAATCTGACATATCCATACAAGCTTCAATTTAAAGTACACAAGTAAACGATAGCACCTTAAGTGTAGCAAAAGGTTGATGTTGCTTTGGTCAGGCATGCTGGGTATGTGAACTATCTGATTTGAAACAGCTTTTAGTATGAGTTAACTGACACCAGTGGAAAGGCTTTTCCAGGGAACTCTAAATATCACCTGTATCCTCTTTTTTTTACATAGAAACAAGTTTTATGGGGAGCAGCTGAGGGAACTGGGGTTGTTTAGTCTGGGGAAAAGGAGGCTGAGGGGAGACCTTATCGCTCTACAACTGCCTGAAGGAAGGTTGTAGTGAGGTGGGGGTCGGTCTCTTCTCCAAAGTAACAAGTGATAGAACAAGAGGAAATGGCTTTAGGTTGCGCCAGGGGAGGTTTAGATTGGATATTAGGAGAAAATTCTTCACCAGAAGGGTTATTAAGCACTGAAACAGGCTGCCCAGGGAAGTGACTGAGTCACCATCCCTGGAGGTATTTGAAAGATGTGTAGACGTGGTGCTTAGGGACATGGTTTAGTGGGGGGCTTGGCAGTGTTAGGTTTACGGTTGTACTCAGTGATCTTAAAGGTCTTTTCCAACCTAAAGGATTCTATGATTTTATTAAATCAGTGTTCCAACTTCTGGGGAATTAGGATTAAATCTCCAAATATACCTTGATGATATTTCCACATTTTTTCTCTGATTATTACAACCGGAAAAATATTGCTATTTCTGTCAGTTCAGTGATGCTATAGGCTCCCATTTTGTCTTCTGTCTTCTTGACTTTGTATATTGCAAAAGTGTTTCTATGAAGCCCTGACATAATGTTGTATGTCTGTTTGACCTGCCCTGAAGATCGTTTATGCCATGAGAGAAACACCTTAGGACGATCTAAAACTGGACCATCTCTTAGTGTAAAAGAACAAAGTTAAAAATAAAGTAATAGGTGTTCTGTGTAAGTGGTACCTAGATAAGACAAAAGAGTAGCCTGGTATGAAGAAACTTGCCTAGGATGTAGGATGCACAAGTCCACTGCAATATTCAATCAGGTTTTTTTATGTGAGGTGCGGAGTATCACTTATGTTGCCTGTATCCCCCTGTTCCAGAGGTAACAGCGCTTCCCAGCTTCACAGGGTATCAAACCCAGAAGTGCAATGAAGATTTTAGGATGCTTCTTCAGATTATAAAAGTATATAAAAATTCAACAGAAATTAAAGATTATTCCTGTACATACACCAGTGTTTGTATAATTTATTACAGCTGTTCTAAACCAGGTTGAGAATAGAAAAAATAATTAAAATATTACAGTATTACTGGAGTAATCTGCTTTTTCCTTGCTAGTGTTTGAGTAACAGCAGCTAGACAGAGCTGAGGCTCTGTTACTTCTCAGTGTCTGAAATTTGATTTCTGCTCATATTCATCTGAGCAAAATTTCTCTTATATGGGCACTCCAGAAAGTGAAAACAATTGGAGCCAGGGCACTCTTGTGCAAAATGCCACCCACATGACACAAGCTGAGGATCTGACATATGATGTGGTAACTGCTAATGAACTGAGCTGGATCTGATGCAGTGTCTTGGCTTTATAACCAGTTTCCAGTCCTATAACACATCATCTCCTGCTCATGGCCCCGATTTTCTTCTTTGAAGGTCTATTCTTTATTCACTCAAATCTTCTCCATGTGTCAAGAACATCATAAGAAGAAATTATTAAAAGCAACAGGCGTAAAAGTCCCCATTCCACTGTTTTACTAAAGCATTTAGAGTGAGAAAAATTAGGCGAATTCACATTTCACATGTGTTTAAATTGCTAATCTCACTGCTCTATCTGTATTAGTGAATACATTTACAGTAACTTTTACTTTATAATATTTTGGCAGAACTGTTAGAAAAATTGTTATAAGCCTAGGAGTGGAACTGAACCATGAAAGCTAAACTGTAAGCTGCTGTAAAGCTGGTTTATTAGTATGACAGAATAAAATTTCACACACACAAAAGCTTCTAAGCCGCAGTATTTTGAAAGGAAGAAGAGAGGGGTGGGGAAGTATAATCAAAGTCCTCTATGTTCCCTCTGATATTTCACTGAACGCTGTCATAATACGTTGGTTTTGTCCGTTCTGTTTTTCAGGCATTTGGTGATATTACTGGAGAAGGTCTTTTGTGTAATGAAATGAGCACAGCCCAGGAGCGTGTAAACGAAATGGACAGTGTGCTGCATACATCTTCACGTATCAAGCTGAGGGAGAGGAAAAAGAGTACCACGAGGCAGAAAGGTATTATTTTCAGTTTCTGTACCTAGTTGAAAAACCTAGGCATAAAACCATGGGAGGGATAGAAAAAACAGATAATTTGAAAACACAGTTTCTCTTGGAAAGACTAGGGTGTGATCAGTTAGGGCTGAAATTTCACAGTTGTGTTTTCCAGTGGATCTTCACCCTTGGGTAGTTAGTTTCATAGGACTGTTGCAAGACTCCTGAAGACGGAAGAGCTTCACCCGAACGCTGTCACAATTCTCCGTTCAGAAACTCAGTACAGTAAGGCAATAATCCAGAGCAGTTTATCTGGCGTAAGGGCCAGTGTTCAAAGTATGCTGAGGGCAGGCTTAAATCAGCTACTTTATATATATTTAGGTATGTGTCCACACATATTCATCTGAGTGAGAAAGTTCCAATCCCTCAGACTTGCACTGTGTTTTCCACTGTGTACTGAGAGCCACTGGACCCCTCCCAGCACCTCGAGAAGTACATGCAGAGTGGAACATGCCCATGTACCTCAAGATTCTAAGTGAAGGTGCCACTGATCAAAAGTAGTATCTGGGTGTTTGATGACAGAAAATTACAGGACACACTGGGTGTCCTTAGATGTCACTGTTATTGCAAGATATCAATTTCCTCCTGTTCCTTACGCAGGGTCTCAGTACCAGATCTGGTTCCACCAGATCCTGGCACTTCGCTGAGTCCTACTGGTGTCAGTTTTCTGATGCCCTCTGAGGAGTAAATTTAGTTAAAAACACCTTGTTTTATTTTTAAATCCACACTTATCTTGTCTGCTGACAGAGGAACCTTGGAAAATTTACATGAGCACAGAAGACAGAGTTTTTCAAAGGGAAAGGGATAAATGTAGTGTACGGGCTTTTGTTGCTGTATCCCTCTTGTATGGGGAGGGAGGTCACTGGTGCACTGTTGCCTCTTGTATTTACGTCCTGTCTTTCTCTACATCTTTTTGTTTAATCTTCAGGAAATCATGTTGTCTCTGACAAGAGCTAATTCCTGCAGTAATTCATAGTCCACAGCTTTTACATCCTGATCCACATCCATGGTATGGTTACTGTCTGACAGGATTTATAGTTCTGATGTCTACACCTCTGTGCGTACAGTGTTGTCCAGCAAATGTTCCATTCATAGCTCTTCTGTGGCTTTAACAAGGTTTTCAGTGTGGTAAGCTCACTGGATCAGATCACAGATCGGATCACAAAATATAATTTTTTATTTTTTTTTTCGCCCCTTCCAAATAGTGGGACATTCCTAGATTTCTCAGGTTTACTTGTTCCTGATTTTTCAGATTTGCTTGTACCTGCTAGTGGTGGGGGGGAAAATGTTGCTGATTTGTCTTTCAAGTTTCATGACTAAAACATTGACAGTGTTTTCAGTAATTTTTCAAAGCACAACACTATTGTAATTTCAAGGCTGCAAAGATGCCCAGAAGAGGAACAATGATGGCTTCATGCCACCAGTTCCGTAGCCAAGTCCCAACAGGCTGCAAAATTTACAAGATCCCAGAGAAGATCATTTTGCTGGGGTCTTAACGTTGGTCAGACTTGCTTCCCTGGGAGCTACAGCAGCTTAAAGTAACCTGGAGGTTATTCACATGCTATCTTGGTGGTATTGAAGTATTGCTCATTTGTTCCAACCAGTCAGTGCCTCTTCTATTTGGTTTCATACAAATGCATCAGAAATGAAGTCCATGCCCCAAAGGCGAGGACTATGAGAGACAACAGAAGGAGAAGGTGGGAAGGGGAACAAAGGCAAGAATGGTAAAGTCCTTTGTCCAAGGTCACCAAAGTCAGAGATAAATGCAGAAATAAAGGGCAGATTGCCAGTGCCCTGACTCTTGGTCTTCCCTGCAGTAGGATCCTTTTTGTTCTGAAAACACAGATGGAAAAGGGAAGAGTCTTACCTTCCTGCTATTTTGAATTATTCATGTAGAACACTGTAATCAATTAACATAGTAACCAGTGACATTTTTCTAACATGTATGCTTTTCTGTTGTCCCCTTGTTCAGATGCATTTACCTTTGCAAGATCCTTCCCAATGCCTTGAACATTGTTGATTAATTTTGGTACTTAAATCTGTGGTTCTCATCCATCTGAATAATCATTAAATGACATTAGGTAATAATCTGGAGGTTTAAATGTCACTCCTGAAAACAGTTTTACTTTTAGTTTTCAAGATAACAATTTGGTTTCCACTTTGTTTTTTGTTGTTGTTGTTGTTGTTTGTTTGTTTGTTTGTTTTTTTTTTAATTGATTTGTGTGCATGTACATATGTGTGTGTCTTTATGAGTTACACGCAGACAGAAATGGTGTTAAAAATTTTCTGAATATCTCCAAGAAGTGATGTGATTTTTGTGGGTTGTATTGCATCAGATATTACTGAGATGACTTCTCTCTGTCATAAAAGGAATAAAAATGTCTTTTAATGTTTGCTTTGCCTGTTGACACTTTAAATTATTATATATAATTTTGGAAAAGCAACTCACTGAGGCTAAATTGTCCAGTCCCAGAATTTTTCTGTGTATTTTTTCTACCTGAGCAGAGGTGATGTCGATTAACCCACCACCAGTGAATGACACAAACAGTGCAGTGGAGGCCACTAGGATTGCTTGGGTACATGACTGTCCTCTGCTATGGGTTAAGGTGATGATCTCTGACTCACTGCAGTTTCTGGGCAACAGTACCAAGAAGAGAGCATGCTGTGGGCAGCATCAAACTATGTGCATCTTCCTGGCCCCAGTTTTGTCTTGGAACATGATTGAATGTAATGGTAAAAATCCCTTTGGGCAATATTATACCCTAGGTATACCACTGTCTTAAGATATCCCAGTCTGGTTCTGTGAGATTTTTACTTCAGTGTTAGTAATATGCTATTATTTAGTCTGATGGCAAGACTGATTTTACGTGCGGATTCACCACACCTTTAGTTCTGATAGGACTATGCTGTTTTATTTAACAAATGTGGATCTGGTCCTGATACTTTGTTCAGCATGAAGGACTTGATTGACCACTTTTATTCCCTCTGTTATGTCAGCATGTCTCCACTGGCTTTCATCTGATCTTGGATGTAGAGTTCTGCAATAGTAAATATTCTTGAAAGCTGAATTAAAAGTATGTTTAAATATTAAGTAAATTTATCTTACATTTTTGCTGAAAATGTATCATCTTACCTATTAATTTTGGTTACTTACATTCTATGAGTTCCCATGGTTGTTGGTCAATATACACTGGGTAACACTGGCTTTGAAATTGTTTTCTGAAGTGCCCTTATCAGCAACGTCATCCATAATGTTCAGTTATAGTTGGATAGTAATTGCCTGTCTATGTAGTGTTCCTTTACAACAATTTTCTCCCGTGTAGCTATATATATGTAGTCATTACTGAAAAGTGTAAATAAAGAATCCTTTTAGTGGTGTAGTTTCCCTGGGTACCTACTGTGCTCTTATTATCTAAAACATACTCCCCATCTGTAGTTCTGTTCTATTAAAGGATAAAGACATAAGTATGAATTAAAAATTAAAATGCTTGTTGTAGATTGGAGAGCAAGGTCTATTAGAATATATCTAGCGCTAGGCTCACAGTACAGTAGATAGATTGCACTGAGCACCAGTTAAGCAAGGGGATGAAAAATGAGTGATTTTCATCATTCAGTTAAATATAGTGCTAAGTGGTATGTGCTAGCATTAAAAGCAAATTACTTAGCACTTCACCAATCACAGCATGAGAGCATTCCATTGGAAGCAGTATTTCCAGTGATGCTCAGTCCTCAGTTTTATTAAATAAATCAGCTGTTAATGCTTAAGGAAGCAGCTGAAGACGTATTGCTATGATAATAAAAAGATTGAAAATGTTAAAATGAAGAGAAGCAGTACTTCATTTTAATTAAATGCCCTAAGAAAACCTCCCTCTCTCAAAACAAAAGTGCTGGTGGATCTGTAATATTTGCATCTCCTGTACCTTCTTTAGGTCTTCCCTTCTTACTAATGAATATGACCTTTCATTTTTTTTTTCTTCTTTATAATGACATCTTTTTTTCTCATAAATCTGCTGCCATGTCATTGAACATTTTGATGAGCTTTTCTGATTCCCTCTTATATCTCCTTGATAGGATATTATTATCCAGTAATCTAGAGATGGGGACCCTGATCCTCAGCACAGGTACATTTTGGCTGCTCAGTTAAAGGCGATGGAGATGTGAGAATTTACACCAGAAGAGGTTTCAACATTGAGGGCTACCTTTATACCACGTGGGAACATTATTTCCTCCACATCAGTGGACACTGGGAGATGCTCAAATCTGCTGTCCAAACACATGGAAGCTGTGAGAAGTCATAAAGCTTTCTGAGTCTCAGACCATTCCTAAGGTGCTTCCTCCTCCTCCTAAACAGGAGTGACCTGGCAGGAGTCACACAGCAAAAGTCCCAAAATGACACAAGCAGGAGATGGACCAAGGTCTGAGCCACACCTAAATCTTCACCAGGAAGATCAAACATTAGAAGGAGAGAAAACTAGAGTTCAGATACTAAAACTACAAGATTAGGGAGACTGTGCATGAAGCCATCTTGAGTCCTTAATTTTTCCCCTAATGACATTCTTTGGGGTATCCTATTTTGAGTTTCCTTTCATGACTAGGCTTGAAAGCTGTTTTCTTTATAAATAGAAATGAGTAGGAAGTGAGGGACAAAACTAAAAATATGAAACCCAAGAATCTCTTGTCAGCACATAATTGCAGGAGCTCATACATGGAGTGAAATACCACCTCTTCTGGGATTCATTGTAAAAATGACAATAAGCTGTTTTCTGTGGTCAGGGGAAGATGGATAATGTGCAATCAGCTTAAATTTATTGCAAATACTATTCCTTTCTGGGTTTTGGAGACAGGGCAAACAACCATGCCCAAGGGTTAAGCTAGATATAATCAATCTATTTTTAGTACAGAGGTTGACTGGGGATGTTGAGTTTTCTTCTGGCCCTACATTTCTGGAGTTCTGTGAAAATTACAAAATCTGCCCAAAACAAGTACCTTTTCCATTTCTGCTTGTGTTTAACTTGTGCTAACTAGTGAAATCAGTGTAGTCCTCTGCAGCAGAAGGCTTTCCACTAATAGTGTAGGATAATGATGTTGGACCTGAAAGAAATATTTTGTAAAATCTTGACTTACTTCAAAATGTTTCCTTGTGAAAAAAAATGACAGTCTTTTACAAAATATGTTCTAAAACAAGGCATTTAAGCAATGTTTCCTTCTCTTGGTGCAGCAGATTTTCATTCTCATTTCCCTATCTTCTACTTAGATATACACTCAGTAGTTTGGTTTGGTTTGGTCTGTTTTTTTTCTTGTTTTACAAGATCTTTATTCAAAGTACTTCCTTAAACCTTAAAACAGCACACATTGCTTTTGGTACCAATAAAACCTTTTCTTCAAAAAATATATAAGGACATGGTATTTAACCTAGTTTTCAAAATATAGAATTCCTTTTTTCATTTTCTTGGCTGACATGTAATGGTTCTGATGCATCTTTTCTGGGTATGCCAATCCTGTCATATACACTAATATGAAATAATGACACAAGGTTGACTTAACTAGACATAATAGGCCATATTTCTCAAACATTGTGTATGGGAGGTATATACACAGATCTTGCTATTTGTTAATGAAATTGGAGAAGTTCCTCATCTGCATTAGGACATGTATTTATAATAGACTCCTACTCCAAAGGCGCAGAGCCCTTACATAATAAAATATTTAAAAAGAAAGGACTCTTCATAGCATTATTTCAGATAAATTTTAGAACTTCACCATGCAACAGAAAACATAACCACATTGAATTTGGAGCAACAGAGAGCTATCATTGCACCTAAAACCAGTGCATGGATGTGTGTGCTTGTGTGTGCTCATGTGTATAGAATGATAGCAGGACAGATTTCGGTGGCAGGGCTCTGTATTTCAAGCCTTTTCAGAATTTTGTTTGTTGTCCATGCTGTTTAAATCTTTATTTCCAACTTTTGAATTAAAAATCACTCTTTGAATGCTTTTGTCTTTTTCCACACATACTATCTGTGAATATATTACAGAAGGTCTAAACTATTGGATGATGAAATTTTTCATAGAATCTTTCAATTTAGGGATGGAAAAGTCTAAAATTTTAATGGTCTCATCACATGATGTTTTTTCTTTAACAAATGGTGGACAGGAATTGGTTACAACCTCCTATTTCCCCCATGCACACACTTTTTTTTTTTTTTTTTTTTTTTCCACATTTCCATTTAGAATCACTTATATTTTGGGTCTAAAAATTGCACTGGCACGCTTACCATGTTACATTGACCTACTAACAACTATTGAATGCTTGGTTTTGCCTATGAATAAATGGCCTTATGCATATGAATCCAGCTTATCAGGAACGCAACATTTCACTCAAGGCTGGGGCTGTACTTATAAGCCAAGGACTTGTCTGTGCTCCTCTCACAGCCAGAAGGATTTTACAAGGAATGTTGAAAGAGCTGGTACAGGCACAACTTGGTCCAAAAAGAAAATAGTGAGACCACATTAAGAGCTGTTGCATTCAGGTTTCTAATTTTTAGCTTTCCCCTTCTACCGTTGCTATTGTGGCAACAAGCTCTCCTTTGAGTGCAGCTGTGCCACCTGAAGAGATCATCTGCAGCTGCTTTTTTATCTTTTTCATGCAGGAGCAGCTCCCGTGGGAGCTCTCCCTCACCCATTTCAAGATGAGTAGCAAATACCTTCTGTTCCAGACGTTCAAGCTTTGCAGGGCTATTTTACTTGAAACAGGTGAGAGACCATTCACATGAGCAACTCCACTAGCAGCTCTGGGCACAGTCATCTTTGAGAGAAGGGCGGTGAGGACAGGTGGGGGGTGATGCTCTTAGTCCTTTACCCAGCAGAGCTGCAACTGAAGTAGATTTCTGCTCTGTGCGTGTCTGTCTGTCTGGTTTAAAGGTTTATTTGGAAGTCCTGTGTTTCTTATTTGACTATAAATGTGAGTGGTAAGACAGATATTTGGGGTAAGAGTCCTCAAAGACAGCTAAGTGATTTGGGATGAAACATGGGTTTTAATGCTCGTTTTAGACTGAGATGAAAAAGCATAAGAAGTTTATGCTGTGAGAATGTACAAGGAAGCAACACTAG